TGAATTCAAGAAAGCTTCAAAAATTGCCAAAGAGGCTAAGGCTAAACTTCATGCTTTAGAAGAAGAAAATAAATTTTTAGAAAATGATAATCTTGACCTTAAAAATAAGATTAAGGCAATGAATGAAGCTTCTTCCCTTGACCAAAGTTCTACTTGTTCCTCTTGTGAATCTTTAAAAATAGAGAATATAGAACTTAAGAGCACCATAGAAAAACTTAAGGTAGAAGAACCTAAGAAACTTGGTGAAGAAGTTAATAATGATAAACCACATAGAAGAACAAATAATCCTAGGAATAACAAAATTAATTTTAGAAAGAATAAAAAAAATAAGTTGAGACAACCTAGAAATGACTCTAAGATTTTTATAAATGATAGAAATCATTTGAGGCAACCTAGAAATGAGTCTATGAACTTAATTAATTAATAATTCTAGGAATAATGACTTTAGATCACCTAGAAATTTTTTGGCTCAACCTAGGCATATGCATAACCCAAATGTAATTTGCCATTATTGCTCTAAGATAGGACACATAGCACCCATTTGTTTTACCAAACATAAGGATTTGTTTTATAGCTATGATTATTATTTTCCTAACCCTCAAGGATCCAAAAGTTTTTGGGTACCTAAAAATTATTAGATGCATATGTAGGTGTGTTTGAAGACTACATTTTTGTAGTGGATGCTCCAAGCACGAAACCTAATAATTTGCATCAAGGGGAGTTTGGGGGGAATTGTTTTTGCTATAAACATGGTATCAGTTTCAGGGGAACATACAACAATGATGTTTTGTATCAAACATCAATGCTCAGGAAGTACCTTTATTTTTTAAACTTTACTTAGTGCTTTTTGCTAATGCCAAAAGGGGGAAGTGTTTGGGTATATGCAACAAGTGAGGGGGAATCTTGTTTTCAAAGACGCAGGGGGAATTACCATTACTCTCTCTTTGAAAACCCAACTAGGCCTGCATATCCCCGCCTTGGTTTGTCATTATCAAAAAGGGGGAAATTGTTGGAAAACATTTTCACTTTGACATTTTGCTAATGACAATGTTTGTTACCGTTTAGGTTTTCATATTGACAAACCGTCGGGAACATGGAACAAAATGAAAAGATTCAAAGAGATAGTAAAAGTTCTTTGAAGAAACAAAAAGCCTAAGAAAGGCATTGACGTTGCTAAAGATGTCGACATTGGCGCTTTGAAGACGTATTCTAAAGACTTAGGTTTTATTGTAACAAGCTCATTCAATTTCTCTATGTCATGGCTCAAAACAAAATATGTTTTTCATGCATCAAATTATTGTTTTCATAAATGGTTTTTAAGTTTCTAAAACCCTTGGTTCTTGCTTAACCAAAACCATAACCATGGGTTATCGGCGTTTGGCTATGGCGTTCGGTTTTCGGCATTGGTTATTGGCATTGATTTTAACCAAATGGTTTTCGGGTTTTTATCTTTGGTTTAAGCTTCTGGACACATTTAAAGGTTTTCCAAATGATTAGTTTTCAAAAATCATAACCTTTGTTTTTCGGCGTTGGTTATCGGCATTCGGCGCTGGTTATCGGCGTTGGTTTTTAGCGTCAAACTCAATCAAGTGGTTTTTAATATTTTATGATTGTTTTTTACTTCGGGACAAATCCAAATGGTTCTCCAACAAAAACATGTTAAAAACCACCTTTCGTTTTTGGTCTTTTGGTGAAAACCATGTGAAACGGCATAAACTTGGCTAGCCGTGGTTTTTACCTTAATGAAGTGGTTTTTAAATTTTTATACTTGGTTTCTACCTAAAATACATTATATAAGAGTTTCCAACACTTGGTTTGCATTCTGGAGAACTTTGGTTTTTGACATCGGTTTTCGGCGTTGGCTGCCAAACCATGGTTCTGGAAAACCATCCCAGCATGCATGTCGAAAATCCCAACAGCGATGTTGGCCTTCAGAAGCCCTGGGCAGTAAGTTTTTGAACAGCGATGTTCATGGTTGAACAGCGATGTGTTAGAATAAGTGCCCTTCACTAGAGGGGGGGTGAATAGTGAGGCACGAGAATGTTTATAAATTTTCACGGAATAAAAATCGTAGGGTTAAAGTAAAGAACGTAAAAAGTAAAGAGCGTAAAAAAAGAATAAAGAGAGCACACCAAGATTTATACTGGTTCACCACAACGTGTGGCTAGTCCAGTCTCCCGAGAGACTCTCTCGAGCTACACTACTTCCGTTAAGCTTACGGGTGCTTAACAAACCGTTACAACCTGAGAACTCGAGTCCCACGAGCCTCAATACACTTGCTCGGAGATACCGCACTCCAAGACTTCAACTCAAAGGAATATGCCCTTCCTTCGTACAACCAAGGGAACAAACCTCCCTTAAAGTGTTCACAACACTTAACCACTCAAGAACAAAAACTCTCTTAAAGAGTAGAATATGAGTAAACTAATTTAGATCAAGAACACACTCAATTCCTCAAGAAATGGCTCTAAAAAGCTATGTAAAAAGTTTATGGAATGATTCAATGTAAAGCTATGAAATGTGTGAGGAATGGATGTCAAAAGTAGACCCAAGAGACCCCTTTTTATACCCAAAAACAAGGTGCAACGGTTGGGAGAAGATTGGAGTTGATTGGCTTGATTTGTGGAAATCAAATAAAAGTGGATCT